AAAATGTTCAGGAGTTCCGCTATAAAGAATAGATTGCGGCCCTGAAATCTGTAGCTGTACACTATACAGGAACTCTTCCTTTAGCCAGGGTATACAAATGCTCCATAATTGCTGCACTATAAATTGGTATTAATGGGCTGCTTTTCCTATTTATTACTAGAACAAGGAGGGAGGGACAGACAATAATGAATTTAGAGACGCTGCACTGTGCAGGGAACAGTTAATACATCTTTATAAAAAAAGGAAACAAGAGGCCACTTAACGAGCAATAAAAAAAATGACTCGCTGCCCGAAGTGTCGACATCTGCAATTGTCGTGCTGGGAGCCGCCTGAGCTGAGAGCATCACGAACACAGAAATAATGCTCCAGTCAATTGTTGGCACAGAAGGTTTTTTTTTTTTTAGCTTACATAATACCGGCACGCAAGACTGACTAACATAAAAATGCAATTTACTTGATGCTGGGCCCTGTGAATGCTAAACTAGCTTCAAACCTCTTTATTACCGAATGGCTGCACAGAGCTAAATATAAAATAAAACAGAAAATGCGATGGGAGGATTTCTTTACAGTCCTATAAAAATACTATTGTGCTGTAATTACATCTAGAAGACTCTTTAAGAGCACCAGTCGTGTGCTAAGTAACCTCAAGAGTACACTGTGCCTAGTACTGTTAGATCTGTTACATGGGCAGCAGACTTTACTACCCTCTGAAAAGCAATGGGCGGTGGATCGCGTTTCAGAGGGCAGTTGATGGGCAGCTGACAGGCGTTCAGGAGATACTGCCACCTCCAGAATGTCTTTTTTTTTCTTCTTTTATGATCCCAAGGGGCATTTAGCATTACAATGATAAATTGCAACAGAAAGCCAAGCAGTTGGCACTTGGTTGCAGCGCAGCCCCACAGACTTCAAAAATCGTGTATGGTGACCAAATGTGATTTGGTGTTGGAATGTCCTGGGTGAATGAGACTGATTTCTGGGACAGATTTACTTCTATCCTGCAAGTCGTACCAATAAAGAGTATTTCTCAGTGATTGCTACAGTGAATGTTGTACTTTAATTGGGAGGTTTGTATGTGTATTAATCCAAACAGTTCCGGAATAGGTTTACACCCACAGATATCTGAACATACTTTGTCCACCGATCAGCCATAACATTATGACCACTGATAGGTGAAGTGAATAACATTGAATACCTCTTTACAATGGCACCTGGAAGTGGTTGGGATATATTAGTCAGCAAAGGGAACATTTTGTCCCTGAAGTTGATGTGTTGGAAGCAGGAAAAAAAAAATGGGCAAGTGTAAGGATTTGAGCGCCTTTCACAAGGGCCAAATTGTAATGACTGGGTCAGAGCAACTCCAAAACTGCAGCTCTTGTGGAATGTTCACTGCAGTGATCAGCCCCTACCAAAAGTGGTCCAAGGAAGGAAAACTGGTGAACTGGATGCAGGCTCATTGATGCATGTCAGGAGTAAAGGCTACTGTAGCTTTAACTGCTGAAAAAGGTTACCATAGAAAGGTGTCTGAACACACACTGCATTGCAGTTTGTTGCATGTGGGGCCACAGACTGGTCAGGGTGTCCACAGCCAGAAGTGCCTACAATGGGCAGGTGAGCATCAGAACTGGACCACAGAGCAATGGATGAAGGTGGCCTGGTCTGATGAATCACATTTTCTTTTACATCATGTCGACGGCCGGGTGCGTGTGTCACTTACTTGGGGAAGAGATGGCACCTAGATGAGCTATGGGATGAAGGCAAACCGGCGGAGGCAGTGTGATGCTTTGAGCAATGTTCTACTGGGAAACCTTGGGTCCTGCCATTCATCTGGATGTCACTTTGACATGTACCACCTGCCGAAACATCATTGCTGACCAAGTACACCCCTTCATTAAAACGGCATTGCCTGATGTCAGTGGCCTCTTTCTGATGGATAATGCACCCTGCCACGCTGCAAAAAGGGTTCAACAACAAGTTCCAGGTGTTGGCTTGACCTCCAAATTCTCCAGATCTCAATCCAATCGAGCATCTGTGGGGTGTGATGGAAAAGCACGTCCCATACATGGAGGTCCCACCTCACAACTTACAGGACATAAAGAATCTGCTACTGACAGCTTGATGTCAGATACCACAGCGTACCTTCAGAGGTCTAGAGGAGTCCATGCCTTGATGGGTCAGGGGCTGTTTTGGTGGCAAAAAGGGGAGCCTGCTCAATATTAGGGAGGAACACACACACACACACACACACACACACACTTTGTCAGCTGATCACTGTTAAATGACAGACAGTGATCACCAGCTGGGACTCAGCATGTTGGCCTTTCGGCATCTTCACAGTGACCTTGGCCGTAAGAACAACCTGATACAACAAATACACGGCATGCTGTATATAAAGGAGAACAATGAAGTACACCCGAGTCTAGACAGTTAAGAACAGCCATCGATGATCTACACCTCAGTGCAGAGCTCAGATCTACAATAGCTGCATAATGGTCCTATTAATATCACACACGTACAGAGCTGTGTGCCTTGCTGCAGTAACGTACAATACGTTCGATCAGTACTTGTGGAATTTGACAGCCGTGTATAAAATGTTGGAGAATGTCAAACATCTGAAGTGGTAAATTATCTGGTGACAGAAACTGAAATTGCTTAACTGCAATCTGCATGAAACTTCAGATCAACAAACAAATGTCACTATTTTTGCGTAACGTGTAATACAGACCTGATGGGGTTATGACCTTAAGGTGTATGTAAACCCAAAATCAAAAATTGTATATATTGCCTCTTACACCGCATTCACACTGAGCGACATGGATATTGCGCAATTTCGCGCTGATGCTATCAATCCAGCCTGTAATGGGGATTAACAAAGGCAGACATGTTTAAAGTCAAGCGTGTGTGACGACCATGGCTTCTCACATAGATAGGACTACACTTCCCAAGTGCCCCTGCTTCACACACAGTGTTACGCAAGCTCTTGGGAGTCAAGGCAGCAAATATATGCGTGTGGAGAAGCACAGAAAGGGGAGTGGAAGAGATGTCTGTAGTCTGGCAGGTAGAGCTGACAACACGGTCTCAGATTTCAGTGCAGCAAAGTCAACGTTGTCATTCCAAGCAGAAAATTAGGAACTCACTGGATTTCTGGCAGATCAGCTATAAAGCTATACAAATAGGTCCCTGGCATTGCTCTAGTTATATATATTCTTACAGTTTCACTGACACCAATACACACATTATAAAATCAGAGCTTAGCCATTTCTGTTTGGCTTAAAAGAGAGACACGGAATAAGCCAGAATTCCCTTTTATTCACTGGAACAGACCATATAGACATATACAGTTGAATTCAATAACAAATTGCAGTGTTAAAGCATCCTAACAGACTTACACTTTGCAAGCTGGTCTGCTTGGGATTGTGCCCATAAAATGAAAAGCCTCCCCTGTGTTCCTCTCTGATACTAGATTCATTTTCAGTGACTCAGCCCCATCATTACAGCTAAACCTTGCCCACATGCTACCCACCATCCAATTAAAGCATCCGTACAAGCAACTGATCTGCTGTCATTGCATATGGGATGGGGGTAGATGGGGCTTAGCCCTGAATCTTAACAGGGTTGGCAAGAATCATCTTAGGCTGCCTTCTGTTGTAAAATATATCTGCCCACCGGAATGCTTCATCAATTTATTCAGTGTTCATGGAATTTGGACAATACAAATCCCTTTGTGGGCACAATCCCATTATTTCAAATCAACAGAAATTCTATCTCCGAACCTTACACCTTTTCAACAAAAAATGAAAAACATTGTTTTAAGTATGGTTTAGATAGGTATCTATAGTGCACATTCATTTTTTCAGCCAGCAGCTGAGCTCTTGCCTTCTTTGAACATGTTTTCCATAAAAGCCTTAGCTGCTTTGCTGGAAAAAAAAAACCTGAATACGAAGCTCAGTAGCTCAAGCTTTAATCTGCCTACACAGAAGTGAATAAGTCAGAGCAGTGTCTCCTTCTCCTAACTCCCTCTTGTTGAGTACAGACAGCTGCACACAAAGTCTTAAGCCTGTGACGCACTGCATGTGAAGAAGCATGCAGCAAAGGTAAACGACAGCGTGTAGACCTCCGTCTGCAGTAGTGTGTCTTCCAGAGAGGCAGCTGCTGGAACGCACGGCAATAGTTCACAAAACTTCCCCCTTCATTCTGGGGCGGGGGTGCATTGAAGTCAATGGCAACGCAGCCACGCCCCCCACAGTGTGATTGGACGCGTGGCAAAACATTGCCTGCGTTCCGGTCTACTGCAAATGCAAAAAATGCTGCATGCTCTATTTTTTTGGGTTTGCAGTGGAACGGAACGCAGGCAATGGTTGCGGTGCCATTGACTTCAATGAACTGCCACGCCCCCTCCTGCCCCAGAACGAAGGGGGAAGTTTTGTGAGCTATTGCTGTGTGTTCCAGCAGCTGCAGCTCTGGAACGCACCGCAATTGCTGTGAATGGGCCCTAAGTCTAACTAGATAAACTAAATAAAGGGAGGGTACCTGCCCCTCTTATGACTTAATGGTTTGTGAAATTCGAACTCTTGATATTGAAGACAATTTACAATAGAAACATTCATGGAAAAAACAGTAACGTTGGCCAGTACAACAATGGGAAAGTAGCCTAGATCTCCACCTGCAATATTTAATATTTTCCTAGCTAAAGAAAATAAGTTTTTGTATTATGCAAAAATAAAAATGATCTATATCTCCTGACAAGTTCTAAAGCACTTTACAAAGTACACATACCATATACAACCAATACCATCATTAAAGGAGGTTACATTCTAATGCCCTTATGACAGCAATGCTAATACGCACATTAGGGGCAAGTTGGGTCTACCAATTTGGCCATGCAAGCTCCATGGTAGGAAATTAACTCAAGGCCCCAGAGCTCCAAGGCAAACATGGAACCACTTAGCCATCATACTAATGAGCACCGCCTCCAACAGAAAGAAAAAAAAAACACAACTCACCCTCTCGCTCTGCCTACTACGTCCTTCTTTTCCAGCCAGTTCTGGCCTTCTTTATATAGACCTCGGTCATCAACTTCATTGTTATCACCTTTGGTCAGGAACTTAATGTCACCATTTTCCCTAAAAATGGAAACAAAGCATTAGATAGATGGCAAAATCAGAATACGCTTAGAGACCGATGAATGATACAAATTATTTCAGCATAACTACACAGAGTCCTTCACTAATACTTTATAGAGTACCAAAAAAACTCATGCTGAAATGAAAGGGTTACCTGGGTGTGGTTTGGAACCAAGCTCAAGTAACACAATAAAAGCATCAGGTTGTATTTAGAGACCCCTGGAATTCAGTTTAAAAACCACCCTGCCACCCGGGATCCTTTTACCATATGCGCTGGTCCTGCCCTGTGGTGTTAGATTACTGGCGACTAATCGTTAAGTTTCTCCATGATAAGATGGGTTCTCCTGTGACCCTGGATCCTAAGATGTGCCTCTTGGGTATATACAATACTGCTAATATTGATAAATATACTAAATATCTTTATTCAGGAAGCCCTCTGTGTCGCCAGGAAACTGATAGTCAGATTATGGATACAGGTGCTCCCCCCCCCCCCCCAACTACTGCTCACTGGAATCAAATGCTGCTCTCCCTTTCAAACGTTTGATCTATAAACATCATGCTTGTGACAAGACATGTCATAAAATATGGGATAGATGGACTGCAAGGTCATCCACTTGTGATCCTGGATATAGAAAACTGCACTGATGATTAGGTATAAGGACACAATTCTCTTCTATGTTTCCTCCTTTCTTTTACCTTTTTCCTTCTCTGCTCCTTTCCCCCACCCCTTCTTCAGTTCCATTTCTTTTTCTATCCCTCTGTATTGTTCCTGGATCTGTTCTTTCGTTCTTTCTGCAATAAGGTTGTGTTAATTGTGCTTTGATGGTTACGTTTACATGTCAGATCGTTGGAGTTCAATACAGAAAACTTCATACTCTGGCACAGTTATTCTGATGTGCTGCTCGTCTCTTTTTTTCTGTTTGTATATGCTCATTGAATGTGCACCTGGTTGTCATGTTTCTTTATTCTCGTTCAATAAAGTATTTCGACATTTAAAAAACCAACCTGCCAAAATGTAAAATCAATAGAGTAAAAGCTGCCCTGAACAATCTGAGGGCCGCCAAATCCAGGCATACAATCATATAAACGGGGATGCCAAAGCACTCTGGTACATTCACCCCATCAAACAATACAAACCTCTCTACAAGTCATTGGGGTGCACACTTTTAATTGGATGATACAGGAGAGGATGCCAACTTGTATTGTGTTCTACGTCGGTGCCTGTGGTACCAGTCTGAGCTCCTTGGGATATACAAAACCCGAGCACAGACATTATACTTCAGGAAAGGTATACAGGCAGTCCCCGGGTTACGAACAAGATATGGACTGTAGGTTTGTTCTTAAAGGAGAACTATGAGGTGAGTGATTTCCACTCACCTGAGTATACTGAGCTTAGGGTAACCGGAGGACGCTAGTTTGTGTCCTCCCGTTACCCTAAGGAGAACTATGGGGAAAAGCCCTGACCCAATAGTTCTCCTTTAAGTTGAATCTGTATGTAAGTTGGAACAGGTAAATTTTTTAAGTGTAACTCCAGCCAAAAACATTTTTTGGGTTTTGGATAGCATAGGGAAGGGTTTACCCCCTGTAACGTTTGTTTTGCGGTGTGTGCCACTGTTCAGAAGATTTCACCTCACTTTCTGTCCATGTGACAATTGGATTTTGACATTTGGTTTTGTTGTGGAAACAAGGATTAGTGATAAAGCTTCAGTGGAGACACCTTTTCCCCATAACGCCTACAGGAGTGAATGTACCTTCCTAGGGGTAGATTTCCTCTCACTTCCTGTTGTCTCAAGGACAGGAAGTGAGATTAATCTTTCTAATGAGGATACAGACAGCAGTAAAAACCTCACAGTGACCCGGGAAGAAGAGGCTGACACCCCTCGTCTGCACGTCTAACAAGAGCCAACTTCCTGTAATCTACGTACAGTACTACGAACCAGACCCAAAAAAGCGGGCACTCCTCGTCGGCACCAGCGCGGTAGCAGTATAACTACTGGAACGCTGTGTGGTACACTTTGGCTGCAGCCTGGGACCCCCTGCTGTACAGTAATAGCCTCCTTTTGTAAGTATGGGTCGTATGTAAGTCGGATGTTTGTAACTCAAGGACTGCCTGTACTGTAAAGAAGACTTCATCTACAAATGTTCATTTCATATTAGGTAGAGGGTGAAGGTTGTAACTAATGTGTAAGATTGTATTTAGCTCTACAGGACTGAGGTGAAGATCCACCAACATGAAGCTGGCCCATAGACCTCCATCCCTTGCTGCATGTAGCACTGCTGCTTTCCAGAATTAGTTATAATCATCGATTCTCAAACAACAATTCTCTGGAAGCCTCCAAAGATGTAAGACTGATTGGAACAAATAAACAACAACGTTCATTTTCTATAATGAATGTGGGATAAAAATAATCTCTTTAGCTAAGCATGCCTTTTTATGGACTGTACAAGGTCATAGCACTAGCTTTATCTCTGCAAATGGCAATTATTTTGTGTGTATTTTATAGACATCCTAACAACTAGGGAGTCTTCAGTACTGCAAACAGTGCCTTGGCATGGAGGGCTTACTGCAGTGACTAATAATGAAATCCGACAATACATTACTTTTCATGAACTTTGATGACTCTGTGAACTATAGGGATATCTCTTCCTTCTACTTTAAAGACCACAATTTCTCCGGCTCGGATGGGGTCTTCCTGGAAGTTTGTTAGGAAAAGCAGGTCTCCCCGGTGAAAAGCTGGTTCCATACTGCCACTGTAAGAGAACAAGATAGGTGTTACTGAGCTACCTATGGGCTCTAGGTGTATATTTGCCTAAGAGCAGATCTAAGTCTTAACATCAAGATCATAAAATGGAATAATAGTCCTCACATGTGGAAGAGACAGTCACAAACAGATCTATACAATATTTAAAGGGAACAAAGTATTAGTCTGGCTGAAGCACTGTAGTGTTAATTCCAAACTATGCACTTGGCAAGTCTTCAAATTTAAGACGAGCCCATCACATAACATGACCAAAGCATTCACTCTCACAATGGCTGCCATTAAAGGAATTCCAAGACAACAGAACTATGAGAGCTCCAAGAGGTACAGAAAAAAAATAGAGTGACATTGCAAATATTGTGAGATCATAAAACATCAAAAAGGTCAAGCCAAAGGTTGGGTTTTAAAGAGCCCCCTCCATCAAGGCTTAAAATATGGATTACTGTATATCTTAACCCTTTCGCTGCCACCGGCATACGGCGGAACAAAAGTGTTCCCGGCTGGCCAGCTCAGTGTGCCTTACGTTTTATTAACTCAATACATTTTTATCTTTTAGATTTAGTCAGACATTTTTGTTTTTTTGTGCACGGATACTGATTTTAGTGTGTTTTATCAATTGAATTGTGTATTTTTATCGGTTTAATATTAATTTGAGAAACATTTGCGCAATTATCGCAGGGCCTACACATTTAGTATCACCATCTTTTTATTCTAAAGGGCCTGCGCTTTCAGAAAATATATGGTTTAGGGGATCTTTTACAAACGCTAGCAACGCAGCAGTTGAAAATCAAATCAATGGGAAAAATTGCAAAAATGGCGCGGCCAGCTGATTTGAAAAATGTTCCGGAGGGCTTGGCAGTGAAAGGGTTAAAGGACAACTATGGGAAGAGTGATTTATACTCATCCTCATAGTTGGAGCCGACACGTGACAATGAAACTGTCACACATCGGCTCTATTGATCAGGAAGTGAGCGAAAACATCATGCCGCTCGCTCACTTCTTGATCATCTCTCTGCAGAGAGTGGGGAGTCACCGATCCCCGCAGGGATTCCCCCCTCTCCGATCCTCCAGCACTGACTGGAGGTATGGACAGGGGCGGGGCAGGCATAGTTGGCTCTGCTTCTAGATAGGCAGAGCCCGCTGTCAATCAGCCAGCTGGATGGATCTCGACAGTATTGTCGGGATCCGTCACGGCTGCAGCACTCTCAGCATATAGCGGGCAATAGCCATGTATGCCAATGGATAGCGCCTTGACTGGATGAAGATTGTCTCAAAAAGAAGCCTTCCCGACTTGGCCTAATGGTTCAGAGAGCACGAGACATCATTTCCATGTGTGACAATGATGTCTCATGCTCCCTGCACCACTCTTCCACAATCTGAGCCCGATGAATCCTGACATTGTCATCTTGGAATATGCCCAATGTGCCATCAGGGAAGAAAAAATCCATTGATGGAAAACCTGGTCATTCAGTATATTCAGGTGGGCCGCTGACCTAATTTTTGGGCACATAATGTTACTGAACATAGACCTGACCAACTGAAGCAACCCCAGATCACGACCACAGGTGGTGACTTTTTGTTTGGCCAGGCAGTGTATTTCAGCCGCTGCCAAATGTTCAGGCCCCTTTGTTTTATCGAATTGAAGAATGCCCACCAGCTTCTTAAAATGTCCACACTGGCTCTTGTATTGGACTGACCAGCTCCTGAGTTCTACAGGGCCCTGTTCTACCTTCCCTACAATGAAAACATGTTTTTACAGTATAAATAAGATGTTACTTATTTTCAGGAGCAACACCATGCAGAATGTCTACTGATAATCCAAGTGATTCACAGTAAAGTGAAAATTAGCAGTGGGTCTGTAGGTACCTGAGTACGACAACTATGGGACTCTCGCTGCCGGTGACTACAATAAGGCCTTTCCATATCATGAGAGCCGATGATACTATCATGGCAAAATTCAGTACCTGATAGTACAGCTGTGGAGACACAAAGAAGAGCACAGTTTAGTCATGTTTTATCCATTCATGGTCAATTCACAAGTAAGGTTCTGTTTCCACTATAAAATGCAGCAATAAAAAAGTGAATCCTTAAAGTGTATCTAAACCCAAGAACAAAAAACTGTAATGTGCTGCTGATTACAGGTTACTAAGACGTGGTGGCTGCATTAGTTTAGACTTTTTTCAAGTATTTTTCCTTTATTTTCACCTGGTGATCCTGACAGTAACATACTTCTAGTCCTAGGGTGACAACACTCATTTACTGTACTGTATCTATGGAGAAGCAGTGTTGTCACCCAATGACAGAATTATGATAGGACTACAAAGCATGCTGCTCTCCTCACCTCCATAACAGAGGGTGATGTCTTGAAGTCCACAAAGAGAACTCAGGGCATGGCTGATTACACTGTCTGAGGTTTCAATGCAGACTTGTCAGCTGACTATAAGAAGATAGGAGCTGACTGAATTTCTGGTAGGATCAACAGGTATTTATTTGCCTTTAATTACCAGATAACACAAAACCAAAAGGTGCATTTAACCAAGCAAAAGGGAGCAGATGAGAGAATTTCTTTGCTAGGGGTTTACATACCCTTTAAAACAAACTCATTGGACAGCTTATAGTGTACCAGTCAGAACTATAAATTGGGTCAACTGCACCAACAATTGCAGAAGAGGAAACTTTAGGGGGTTTCAGAGGCTCCAAAACACAACGTGCTCTACTATGCCAACTGCAACCAAAGCTAGAATGTTAGAGCATGGCATCACCTTTCTTCAGTAAATGTAGTAGGTGAACCTACTGGCCAATATGGAAGAGAGGTCAAGAGGTCAGTCCCGGGCATGACCATCCTAGCTGTGGTCGCAACCTGCATGATAGAGCACATTGGGTTTTGGGGCTCTGGGAGGAGCCACCAAACTGGATTTTAATGCTCTGGGAGCTGCCACCATGCCGGGTTTAGGAGCTCCTGGGGGTGCCACCACGCATTTTGGGGCTACCACCACACTGGGTTTTAGAGCTTTGGGATGAGTCATCACGCTGGGTTTTGGGGCTCCAGGTGGAGCCACCATGTTGGGTTTTGAAGCTCCATAAAGTGCCACCACGCTGGGTTTTGGGGCTCCGGGAGGAGCCACCACACTGGGTCTTGCTGTTCCATGTGGTGCCAGCACGCTGGGTTTTGGGGTTCCAAGAAGAGCAACCACACTGGGTTTTGTGGCTCCAGAAAAAGAGCCACCACACTGAGTTTTAAGGCTCCAGAAAGGGCCACCACACTGGGTTTTGGGGCTCCAGAAAAAGAGCCACCATACTGAGTTTTAAGGCTCCAGAAAGGGCCACCACACTGGGTTTTGGGGCTCCAGAAAAAGAGCCACCATACTGAGTTTTAAGGCTCCAGAAAGGGCCACCACACTGGGTTTTGGGGCTCCAGGACGTGTTACCATGCTGGGATTTAGGGCTCCGTAATAAGCCACCACACTGGGTTTTGGGGCTCTGGGAGCAGCCACCACACTGGGTCTTGTTCCATGTGGTGCTACCTCAATGGGTTTTGGGGCTCTATGTGGTGACCACTCGGCAGTCCCCCATCCAAAACTGATGATTACTTTTGGTGAAATCTGGTGAATGTCATCACTTATTGGCTTGTAAAAGAAAAGTTCTGATTAAAAAAAAGTGGACATTATTTATCATTTTAGAATGAGATACTAAAGGAAACACTTTATGCAACCAAGTAAAATAAAACTCATACCAAACAGCAAAAGGCAAAGTTTGAACACAATGATGTCTACTATAACATGCCAATTAATTTCTAATTCTGAACAGCAAGTCTTGTGATGTACACACCTCTGCCGCAGAGCCCTACCTATTTACTGCTCCTTCAATTCAGTTTTCTATTTCACCTCTCCATCCTCAGCTTATTCATTGGCGAGTGAATCAACATAATCCAATTGGTGGGGAGAAGAATCAGGAAATCGTAGTGATCTTCCTGGTTGCAGAGTGCAGTAGAATGTGCAAATCATTAGACTGGCTGTACAGAATAAAAATTGTGCATGAACCAATCAGCTTCTCTTCAGTTTGTTCAGTTAAGATTTGAAAATGAGAGAAGCTGATTGGTTGCCATGCACAGCTGCACCAGATTTTATGTGCTCCAGTTTTGATAAACTCCCCTCATAGTCTTTATATGTCCGGCCTACTTGACTGTGCGCACAGTGCTGCCATGCTTGGCGGTGACAAGCAGCATACGCCAATCCAACGTGTAGGGCAGTGGTAGGTAAACTCCGGCCCTCCAGCTGCTATAGAACTACAAATTCCATGAGGCATTGCAAGGCTGACTGCCACAGACATGACTCCCAGTGGCCGATGCATGATGGGATTTGAAGTGTCACCACAGCAGGAGGTCCGGAGTTTGCCCACCCCTGGTGTAGGGGAATGGTTTTTGACTCGGGCTGGTCTGTGCTGAATAATAACCAGCCTGACACTCTCTACCCCAAATCTTCCTCATTGCAAAAAAGATAAAACCGCATTTTTGGGTAAAAATACTCCTTTGTATTTACAGTTTGGCAGCCCATCATTTGCCTATTAAGGGACGGCAGTTTTTCCTAGAAGCACGTTTAACCTTTAAACACACAAACAAGCCCTGTGATAGCAAAGCTTCCAATGCCGATGAGCCCAGTTACTGCAGGGAAATAATGGGCACCTTGAATAGGCTCGGCCTATCAGCCCGAACAGTTGGCGGCTCGTAGACGGAACGCTGAAGAATGAATAGGCTGGAAGTGAACAGGCCGTGTGTGAGAGCTTTCTAATACAGGATTGCAGACTCATATCTTCTTCTCCTCACAGATGATGATCGGAATGCTGCACACGGCTCATCGAGTCGCTTGGACTGGAGCTCCGAGCGCAGCCAGCGCCAAGGGTATTCCACAAAACAGGTGTCAGTCCCGTCCATCTGTGAACGCAATTTAACCCTTTTGCTGCAAGAGCCAGAATTATATATTTCCTGAAAGCAGAGGCCCTGAAGAATTGGTTTATTTCGGGTATTTATATGGCGCCGACAATTTACGCAGTGCTTTACATAATGTACATTCACATCAGTCCCTGCCTTCAAGGAGCTTACACTCCAAGGTCCCTATCTCACATGCATAAATACGAGGGCCCATTTAGATCAGAGCCAATTAACCTTCCAGCATGACTTTGGAGTGTGGGAGGAAACCGGAGTACCTGCAGGAACCCACGCAAGCGGGAAGAACATGCAGATGGTGACCTGGTCGGGATTCGAACCAGGGACCCCCAGAAGGCAGAAGCCCTAACCACTATGCCACTGTGCTGCCCCAGAATAAAATGGTGGCAGTTGCAAATTCTTACATCTCATATTAGCAACTCTTCAAACCCAAAATTTACAATACAATGTCAATTTTAGTGCACAAAAAACACAATATAATACTTATTTTTTGGGTGAAATATAAAAGATGAGTAAATATACGCCGGACTTAAAAATTGTTCGGGCCTGTGAAAAGGCGAGAAAATACAGTACCCCAAATTCTCCATAGGCGACACTTTTAAAGCCTGTATAGGTCATCAGTTTAGAGTTAACCATGAATATTGGCCCTAGAATTATTGCTCTCACTCTGGCGCACGTGCCGATACCTAGCATGTGTGGCACAATTGGTGTTTCCATATGTAGGCGCACCAGATGTGTATTTGCATTAGTGTGTACGCAGGGGGAGAGGACTTTAAAAAAATGTCCCCTATGTGTTAGCACATTGGAGGTGACATGTCCTCTTTAAGGTGACATTAGACCCCTAATGTCACCTTTGCACCCCACTGAAGCTGATCGAGCAGAGATGGTGCTTGATCAGCTTCTTTCCCGGCTTCTCTAGCTGGGGAATGACAGCTCACAAATCAGAAGTCATGAAATCATCTTCGCTTCCAGTTTCATTCCGCGGGGAGATCAGCGAATGGACGCTTCATCTCTCTCCCCTCTAGGGGCAGCGGATCCCAGGAAGCAAGGTGGGGGTGTCAGACATGGGGGGGAGGGCACTGCTTACCGGCCCCTGGAAGTGATCAGGTGACTTTGCACAGGTAAACAGACTCCCAATGGCCCTGTCTGTTTACAGGGGCCCGCTGTTGCCAACATGTATCGGCGGCAGCAAAAGGCTAACGGAAACCTGTGTGTGTGTGTGTGTGTGTGTGTAGGGATGCAGTGGAGTAGGTAACCAGCTGCACTCCTTACCGGAACAATAGTAAACCTGCAGAAGCAGGTGGGTGCTTGCAGCAACCACGGATGGCACCGATGGCTCAGAATGACGAGCCTGATGAAGGGGTACCCATGAGGCCCCCGAAAGTGCTTGTAACTGAGTGGCAATTTGTCATTAAATGGACTTTTGCTGAGTTTCTCATTAGTGTGCTGGTGACGTTTTTTTTTACTTTTGTGTAGGGGGGGGGGGGCATTGCGCATCCCCTTCTAAAATGCTTCAATATATAAAGCAGATTGTTGCCCCCTTTCGCTGGTGATGCAGCCCTGGCCTGGTTGAGTGACACACTAATGACACTGTGACATGTTTCAGGAGGCAAACTTAGAGTTCCAGGAAGTAAAGAGAAATGAATTCAGCTGCCCTTAGTGAAAATGGCCGCCATGAGAAGAATGGGGAGGAAAAGAAAAATAAGGAAAAGCTGCAATTATCTAGAAGTATCTGCTTGTAGATTGTCAATACTAAACATTTTTTAAGGGTGCCCTAGTTGTAATTTCTTTGGATAAGGGTGAAGTTCCTCCTTCAAACAAGCACCCGACTAGTGATGTCATAACATGATCTGCATGCCAGTTCTGGGTCAGTGACTAAAGCCACATCAGCATGGCAGTCAGTTAACTAGCATTTCCAAGAGAAGTCAGCCATGGGAGAAAAGAAGTAATCACACATAGGGCAGCCAATAGCACGTGAGTTATAATGGGATTGGATAACATGCAGCCTGTTCAATCTGTGTCTGTGCCTCCCAA